AAAAGAGCAAAAACTTGTTTTTCATGAAAAATATCTTGTAATTCTGAGATAATAAACTCGTTAATTCAGAAAAACAGAGTGAAAAAAATGTTTTTCAAGGAAAATGTATCTCATAATTTTGAGATAATTAAGTCATTAATTCAGAAAAACAGAGCAAAAACTTTTTTTTCATGAAAAATATCTTGTAATTATGAGATAATAAACTCGTTAATTCAGAAAAACAGAGTGAAAAAAATGTTTTTCAAGGAAAATGTATCTCGTAATTCTGAGATAATTAACTCGTTAATTCAGAAAAACAGAGCAAAAACTTTTTTTTCATGAAAAATATCTTGTAATTCTGAGATAATAAACTCGTTAATTCAGAAAAACAGAGCGAAAAAAATGTTTTTCAAGGAAAATGTATGTCATAATTTTGAGATAATTAAGTCTAATTAATTCAGAAAAACAGAGCAAAAACTTTTTTCCCATGAAAAATTATCTCGTAATTCTGAGATAATTAACTCGTTAATTCAGAAAAACAGTAGATTTTTTTTTCCTCAAGTGAATGCAATACGCTTCCGTAATTTAGTGACTGTGATGACAAACAATGAGTAATTACCTTTAACCGTTGGTGGCTGAAAGCATTAACAAATCAGGTAAAATATCCAATAATCTAAAAAAATAATCTAATAAACATACAAGATCCAGAATTTTGAATTCTATGGATGTTTGAAGTCCATAGAAAAATGTGCAGATTTTTGTGTCCTCCATAGAATTGGAATGTCCGTGGAATTTCCATAGAATTGGAATGCCCATTATTTACAAAGTTCTATACATCCACATGCAAGTGTGTTTATTGGGTTTTGGGATCATTTGCTAAAGTTCTTAGCTATGAATAAGAGTCATTTCAGCTCCATTTAGCACATATTACCATGTTTAAATCCCTTTCATGGAAATTCCTCCCAAAAGCTGTCAGATTCCAGATCATTTTTAACAGCCCAGACAGAATATGTTCCCACAGAAATCTTAATTTCTACAGAATCTGGATTCCCATGATTCACACGCAAATGTCTCAAAATGGATGAACCTAGCCTGGCTAGCATGAACCATATTTATGTACAATAGTTATTAATTTAATTATCAATAGTGAGTTATTAATTGACCTCAAATGTTTGTCTCAGGTTGACGACACAAGAAGCTACATTATTGTTGATGGCAGAGAAGTGAATCGCATTAAACAGTGCCTCATTTGTTTTGGTAAGCTCCAGTGCAGACACACACAACAGTTTTAATATATTTTTAAAATATAATTTATTCCTGTGATGCGAAGCTGAATTGTCAGCATCATTACTCCAGTCTTCAGTGTCACATGATCCTTCAGAAATCATTCTAATATGCTGATTTGCTGAAACATTTCTGATTATTATCAATTTTAAAAACAGTAAGTGCTGCTTCATATTTTTTGTGAAAAAACTAAACATTATTTTTTTTTAGGATTCTTTGATAAATAGAAAGTCCAACAGAGCAGCATTTAGTTGAAACAGAAATCTTTTGTAAAATTTTAAATGTCTTTACTGTCATTTTTGATCAATTTAATGCTTGATTAAATGAATGAGAGTTGCAGTGGCTCTGTTTGTGTGAAGTCTGTTTAAAAAATGTAAGCAGCATAATTATGCTACCTCCAAAAATATATAATTTTATTCAAATTCAAAGGCAGAAGCAAGTATCCATTACGGAGAAGTCAATTCCATAATGCATTGCAACAGCGTTCAGTAAAAGATATCCAGTCATGATGATGGTGGACAACCTTAGGGAAAAGTTGATTAAAAATCCTATGTTACTATTTTGACCAATATTTCGGTGCATTATTGTTTCGTATGGTTACTCCCCAATGAGGAGCTCTTTTTGTATGAGTTGCTGCCTATGTAGAGTGTTCCACATCAGTCATTTGTGCGGTTCTGTTTCAGTAAGGATGCAGACATAAGGAAGCTGCTTATGTAGGAAGGTTTTATAACATGGATGTCTTTGATTAGTGTTTTTTCTCCCCCAGACCGTTGTAACCCAGACCCGGCGTGTGGTATAATTCTACAGCCTCCACCTCTACAGATGGATCTGGACCTGTCTTTGCTGCTGGATGGGTCTAATAACATGAACACTCAAGAGTATTTAAAAGCGAAGGAGCTTGTTCTGTCTCTGTTAGACCAGGTCGGTGTGAGCAACGAGCCGAGCAGAGCGGACGGGAAAACCAGGATAGCCGTCTACCAGCAGAGCTCCATTTACGGCTCCTCTTACATCAACGAGGAGTTCAGCTTCACTAAGTTTAAAGATCGCAGTATCATGAAGCGGCATATTTCCAGTACACTGAAGCAAGTGGGCGGGACATCCCATCCGGAGTTTGCTTTGGAGTGGTTGATTACTAACATTATGCTTAAAGCAGAGAGACCACGAAGCAAACGAATGGTTGTGACTGTTTTTGGTGAAAACTCTGAGCACAGCATTGCTCAGCTTGATTATTTGTCTAGATTATGTAAGTGTCAGAATGTTGTTATGTTTATCCTCATGGCGGGACAGAGATTCGACTGGACCCGGATGCAGGAGCTCACCAACTCTCCTCTGGAGCAACATCTGGTATTTCTGGATGACAGAGAGTACGCCACACGCTTTGTTTACACCTTCCTGAATATGTTCCACAGTAAGGATTATTCATAAGACCAATGTGGTAGAATTCCTTACTAACCTGGTCTGCTGTGTAAACTTGCAGACATTTTTTTTTTTTTTTTAGCATTTTCTATTAATATAACCCAAAAACTCTCTATTATTTGCTTTCCTCTTTCTCTGGAATTTAAAGGGATAGTTCACCCAAAAATGAAAATTTGCTGTTAGTTTACTCACCCTCAGGCCATCCAAAATGTAGGTGTCTTTTTTTCTTCAGTAGAAATGTAAAGATTTTAAGCTTGTCCTTGGTGATTCATATAATGCTTATATGTTAATGGTTACCGTCACTTTGAGAGTCAAAATAAACATACATTAAGAAACATACTGACGATACATTAAGGTCTTGTAATTGAGGTTGTAAATAATGTACAGTTTCTTGCACAGACCGATGGTTTCGCTTCATAAGACCTCAGTGAATCATCAAGAGTTACGGGAATCAAAGGGTTAGTTCACCCAAAAATTAAAATTCTGTCAGTAATTACTCATCCTCACGTCGTTCCAAACCCGTAAGACCTTTGTTCATCTTCGGGACACAAATGAAGATATTTTTGATGAAATCTGAGAGCTTTCTGTCCCTCCATTGACAGCAACGTCATTGCAACTTTCAAGGCCCAGAAAGGTAGTAAAGACGACAGTCCATGTGACTAGAGTGGTTCAACTTTAATATTATGAAGCGACGAGAATACTTTATGTGCGCAAAACCCCCCCAAAATAACGAGATTATTCAACCATCTCTTCTCTTCCACGTCATTCTCCTACGCTGTTGACGTAGTGTAAACAGTGCAGCGCTTCTGGCTTCTACATCAGAACGTCGGCTCATTATTGTGAGAAGAGAAGAGATGGTTGAATAATGTCGTTATTTTGCGGGGGGTTTTGCGCACAAAAAGTATCCTTGTCGCTTCATAATATCAAGGTTAAACCACTCTAGTCACATGGACTATTTTAACTATGTCTTTACCACCTTTCTGGGCCTTGAAGGATGCAATGACGTTGCTGTCAATGGAGGGACAGAAAGCTCTCAGATTTCATCAAAAATATCTTCATTTGTGTCCCGAAGATGAACGAAGGTCTTACAGGTTTGGAACGACATGAGGGTGAGTAATTACATGTACATGTTTTTTTGACACTCAAAGTGACGGTAACCATTAACTTGCATTATATGAATCACCAAGGACCATGGTTTCAGCTTAAAATCTTACTTTATATTATATTTAGGCATTTTATATTATATGCTATTATAGGCATTATATAAATCACCAAGGACCAGGGTTTCAGCTAAAAAGACACCCACATCTTTGATGGCCTGAGGGTGAGTAAATTAAAAGTAAATTTTCATTTTTGGGCGAATTATCACTTTAACAGACACTAACATCCTCTTTCATCATATGAAACACAAATATTTACATCTTAAAAACCATGCTGTAGTGTTTCATCACCCTTTAAGTAGTATTATTATTTATTATAATATTGTTTTTATTAATATTTTTAATTTGAAATTTGAGTTAAAGTTTTAGTTTTTTGTTGTTGTCATTTTCAAAAATCAGTTTTAGTTAAACTATATGAAAATGAGAAATGTTGCCTTGGCACCTAGCTGAAATTAAACGAGTATTTTATTTTAGTTAACATTTCTAGTAATGAAAATGTTTTTTTTTTTTTTTTTTTTTCATGGTTTAAGTTTTAAGTAAACTTTAGTTGAACAACTGCTGTTGTTTTTGTAGGAGGAATCTTACCCCGGTCACTGGTAGAGACCCGTGATTGCCGTGGTTTTGTGCCGAGGCCTGTTGGATTTGCACAAGAAACCACAGAGAGGTAAATCTTTGAACATCTAATCACAAAGGTTAGCATATTTTCAAAAGCAGAAGCATGCGTTTGTGTATACACTGTACGTGGTGTGGCAGTCGGTTATGATCTGGACTCAATAATCCAGAGATTGTAAGTTTGAATCCCTCCTAGGGTGGTCTAAATATTTTACTGTGTTGACTTTTGAGTCTTTGCATTGTGCCAAAAGTGTAGGCCATGCTTGGCCCCATCTAGAGCTAAGCGCATCTGTATTTACTGTTGTTTCTTGCTAACCTGAGTAATCACAATAACAAGGTGTGAAAGCATTTCTCTGAATGAAACAAGAAAAAATAAGAATTATCTCCAGGGATATTCTCGTCTATGCAATAAACACACTTTTATTGCGCTTCATGAGACATATTTTGTTTTTGTTTGCAAGTTGAAATTCAAACAGATGCTGGAACATTGGACATTAATTAGCTTTACAAGACATAATCTGAGCTTTTTAATAAAATGATTCCATATAAATGAGTTTCAGAGATATTCTACCCACTGATGCGCCCACCGAAGAGCTCATCACAACAGAAGAACCTCTGGAGGAATATGATGCTTATGATGAGCAAAGTACAGAACCAATCGCTGGACCCAATCAACTTGAGGACACTGACCGTTTTACAGAAGAGCACACAGAGGACCACACCGAGCCTCCAAAGACTAAAGGTGCTGAATCCAGATCTTCCTGGCCTCATATACTGTAGCTGCTCTTCCTTCTTTGAAGTTGCATACAGTATATCTCTGCCGCAGTAGTGTGTGCATGTATCCTCACCCACATTAAAAATGCATAAGCTGTTTTCATGCTGTTTCTATGACATAGTTCAGTATTCAGTACCATGGGGAATTAGTGGAGTGTACTGTTTGTTTCCAACAGCACGATGTTTCCTTGAAAGAGATTCTGGCCGTGTTTGTGCATCGTATGTGTCCAGTTGGTACTACAGCCAGCAGACTAAGAAATGCTTGCACTTTTGGTACGGTGGGTGTGACGGAAATGAAAACCGATTCTTGACAGAGGAAGAGTGCTTTAGAGAGTGTGGGTCCACAGGTAAATTCACCACAGCTTGTTTAATGATATTTTGGCTTTGGTTTGTAAGTCTTCAGTTTTTTTTTTTTTTTTATTAATATTAATTATTTACTTGTATTATTAGTGGTGCTTGCCAAAGGCAAAGCAACACTAGTGTTATTGTGCATACTTATTATTCTTATTATTCCACACAAAGTTTGGCGCGCTACTCCTCCCGCAGCTTTTGTCACACACACCTGAGTGAGGCGTCAAATCGACCGGCTCATTGAGGAGAGGTGTGCTATGACTTTTCTAAGAGATCGGGTGTACGATGTTCGCACAGCGGACGAAAAAGCGGCCAAAAAAATCCCATTGACTTAACATTGCGGAATTTTCAGAAATTTAAATCCAAACTGCCACTTTCACACACACCCACAGAAAAGGGCCTGACAGCCCTGCTGTCAGGCCCTCTCTCTCTCCCTCAGAGGATTTATTTTATCAAGCAGCATATAAGTAATGGCCCTAAATCTTCATAGCCACACTATAGCAACCAGTTACAGCACCCTAGCAACCGTAGGCCATAGGCACGAGGCCGCAGGCCGAGTGCCATACAAAATAACTCTATGAAAACTCTATAAAAACTCCATATAAACCTCCATAGTAATTATCTGTAAATAAATACATGCCGACATCACAGACCCCTGAGTGAGGCGTTAAATTGTGCGGATTATTGAGGAGAGGTGTGCTGTGACTTTTCTTACCGATCGGGGGTACGGTGTTCGCCCCAGGGGCAAATAATTGGCCGAAAAAAGTCCCATAGACTTAACATTGGCACAAAATTTGTGAGATCATATCTTTTGACCAGAAGGTCATAGAGACTTGGGGTTGGGCTCTTTTGACTCGGCCTATCAAGAAGCCAATAAGTAGTGACATAACAACTTCATGGCCACGCCCTAGCAACCACTTATCCCACCCTAGCAACCATAAAACAACATTTACAAGCCATATTTCAGCTCCTGAAAATAGTAGAAACATGGAGTTTGGCTTTTTTCACTTAGACTGTCAACTAGTCTTTAAATATCATCTCATAAACTGTATAAGCACACCATAGCAACCATATACGGTACCCTAGTAACCATACAAACACGTGAATAAGCCATATCTCAGCACTAGAACATCGTACAGACATGGTTGTTGGCTCGTATGCAATCATTTACCACAACCTAGCAACCGAGAGGCGAGTTTTGCCACTGCAAGCACCACTTCACATTTTCTTCTGGAAATGTACATTCTAGTTATTATTACATTTGAATGTATAAATATTACAAATGTATAATTATATATGAATATATAAATATATAATGTGTTAACTATTATATTAAAGCTTTAATGCATTTCGGGTTTGTAAATTACATTTAGGGTTTTAAGCATTTCTAATAATTTCTTTCTCATTTTAATAGATATATATTGTATGCTTTCTTTTATGCCGGCCTTTTATCTGTAGAGTTTTGAGATTGCACATAGGATTTTAAGCATTTATAATAATTTATTTCTATTTTCTAAATTAGATGCTTTATTTTATGAACCTATTAAGATTGTTCAAATTATTCCCACAGAATCTGAAAATCTTCCACAGGATGATCCCAGTATATTCAAGGGTAAAAGAGACATTCACTTGGCAGATATGCCATACCACTGTTTTTATATAATTATAAAACTGACTTTTTGCCACACCTGCCAATGGCCAGTGACTTAAGAAAATATACCGGCCATAAATATTTTTTTACCAGCCAAGAAACATACATTTTACAAAAGTTATTCTAGAGCACTGATTGATTTTTCTTTGTCTTTTGTTGTTTGATTAACATTAAAAACATACATCAGCAGGAATATTGGGCTGCTGTCACTTTAAGAGTGAATGCACAGATCCAATGTACTGACACACGTGTTTTCTTTCTTAACTGTTTACGTTCGCCTGGACATAACTGACTATGTATACAAGTATGCTTGCCAAGATGGGCATTTTGACACAAATTTTGTTTGAATATGTCTTAAGAAGACATGAAAGAGAGCTCAATTCAGTATTGCGCTCTCTAAAACGGATTTCTGGGCACACGCTTCCCACACAGCGCACGAGTAACAAATTGAGTTCCCTGTTACGTCGTCTTGCGCTTGAAAATTTAAATTGGCAAGGCTTAAACTTTCGCGACGATGCAGCACTGGCCCGTCAACTGGCCCGACTCCCAAGCGTCGTTGACGTTGATGTTCTCAACACAATATTGCATTGTTAAAATTCATAAAAATATTACCGGCCATCTGGCGATTGACACTGTTTCATAGACTCACCAACACTGATTTTTACTCGCATTTTCCGCTCGACGAGTGTTGATTTTAAGCCCAAACCATAAAAAAGTTTAACCATAAAAAGTGTTTATGAGGGGCTTCCTTGATTCACTAAAACAGTTATGCAAATTAAGTAACAAAATAAGTGCAGAACTCAATATGCATGCAGCAGTGACAAAAGAATAACTTAAATACTCATGGCACAACACAATATCAACTTGTACACTGTAGCACCCAGTTAAGTTTGACTGTGGGTGGTTTGTGAATAAGATGCGCTAAAATACCTCATTAAAACTCAGTTTTGTTTTCTTTTTGCTCAGACATTTGCCAGCTTGAGTATGACGCAGGAACTTGCTCAAACTTTGCAGTGAAATGGTACTTCAACGTCCGCAGTGGTGAATGCGCCCAGTTCTGGTACGGAGGCTGTGAAGGGAACAGCAACCGCTTCTACACTCAGGAGGACTGTGAGAATCGCTGTCTCAGGGCCAAAAAAAGCATCTCCTAACAAATCCAAACTGTGATATCTAAATGCAAAATCCATTTATCTACGTTTGGCAGCTTCTGGATTCATGATCGTATTCTCATCATTGATTATCAAATGGCAGCCCTAGAGGCAAGTCTTGAAGTTTTAACGAAATGTATTTGTACAGACGAGTTAATACAGGCCTAATGATTTAACAGCTGATGTGTAGGACCTTAATTTGGAAAATGAAAAACTGTCTATTTGATTACAAGAGCAGAATTAGTTTAAAGGTGAAGTATGTAATTTATGCATAATTAGCAACACCAGAAATAGTTGCAAAAATAATGATTCAGTTTCAATCACTTCATTCATTGCTCAGATAAACAAGTAGCCCCGCCCCAAACTCAAGTCATTGGCTGAGACAATGTTGTTGGACAGCTTGAATGAACAGAGTGCAATTTGGTGCTATTAGTGGTGCAGAAAAGGCATCTTCACCTTTAACATGAGAAACCTTTTTTAATCACCTTTATAAAACCTGAATTTCACAATATTCCTTGAGTTGGACTGGCCATGCTTTATTAAAGGCACATTGTCATCAAGACAACTGTTAAGTGGAATAAAAATATTATGAAATTAAGAATATGTTGTACTTCATTTCTATTTTAGGGGTCCCTACATTTTGACAATTATAATCAAAGTAGTCTTTAATGCACGTTTCAGGCTATATGATAATAAGCACTAAACAACAAACTGTTTGTTTAACCCTCAGAGACCCAACATTTACATTGCATTCAAGGTTTTATCAGTTCTCACTTGGCCGTTGCTTGTGATACGCTCTACTGTTTGGCTGTAGCTCAAAACCCAAGTATTGATATTGATATTATTTCCCTCCTAAAAAGTGTTTCTGGAAAGCCACTGGTTGTAAAATCAGAAAACTGTCTAAATTGGGAATTGAGACTGACTAAACATTATAGGTCATACAAAACAGTCAGTAACAAGCTGGGAAACCCCAATTTTCCTGCCAAAATGAAAACACTTGATAGTCTGATCTGCTATTGCATGTTGCCGTAAACCATATTTACATGTTATTTTATTTCTTTAAACATTTTTGCTTCAGTGAGTCTCTGAGGGTTTAGATGCCTGAGTCCCATGTTATCATTGCAGAGCCATGGGTTGAGCGTGAATTCCAGCTCCGCCTCTCTAGATGTCATTTGGGATTAATGGGTGGAGCTAGAAGGTGGCAGACAGACAACCAATGGCAGACAGTGTCATTAGGTTTGCTATTCTATATTAAGCTTTATGAGGTGTCACAGGAGCAGCACAAAATACTTTTTCAATTCCATTTTATAAGATTTAATGACAATCAACGGGTTCAGGTTAGTGTGGTAAAAGCACACAGTAAAATTGAGAACGTAGTACAGTGAATTCAGTCCGTTAACTTGAATCCCACAATGTTTTCGACCACCATTAACTGTCCTGTCGGTTTAAGTGCAATCCTGGAGGCCGGTCAGAATCCCCCGTGGTATTATTGCTGATGTGAAGCATGTTCAGCCCTTATTTAGAGAGGAGGATAGTCTCCCTCAGAGACGACGTTGAGAAAGCACAGGGAATGTCCTTAAGCGAAACATCATATTAGCACTAAACAGAAGTCCTCTGATCGGCAGTCCACAGAGAACGTTCTATATCATTCATCAGCAAAACAAATATTTCTCACGCCATTTAAAATGGCTGAAACCAGGACTGATATCATAACGAGAAAAAGTAGAGTGGCCATTCACACAGAACGCGTTTTTACATTCCACAGCGCTACTTTTCCATAGTTTTTCAATATAAACATACTAGATGGACGTCTTTAACCATTTTGCAGCTTCTCGGACATGAAACGGCGTTCTAAAAAAGCAATGTTCTCTAGACTTAATTACACTGATCTCTGTCTTTCGTTTTTTAAACAGCAAAAATGCAGTCTGTGTGTAACTGGCCCTTTACTATGTTTAATGTACTCAGCCCTACCACTACAATACCTTTTATTAAAGAATAAACACTATATATAGACTAAGGAAATATACACAACCAAACTGAAGTATGATGATAGTATAGACCATGCACCAGAGAAACGAGGGCGCCGCCATCTTTAGAATATTGTCTTTGAACTTCCGTTTTTGCGGTTGCTCTGTATATTTCTATGGCATCGCTGTCCAGGAGTAATTAGCTGGTGAAGTTGATTTACTTATTGTAGAGTTAACGAAAGTTATCTGTTTATGATAAGCATTTTAAAGCATATGTCTTAACAAATGGACCTTGGGAATTTTTTTTAACGAGCAGTTCATTCATAACTAGGCAAGATCGCTGTGAAAATACAGACCGGAAGTCAAAAGACAATGAGCTCAGCGCGGAAAAGGGGCGTGGCTACATAAGGTCTATACTATCTAGCAGTAATAGGCGCATTTTTTTTGTCAATTCATCTTTTTCAGTACCATGACAGTAGCTCAGCTGGTTTCAAAAGTGTCGTTTTTTCAAAAAACAAGCTTCTTTGTACAAGTATCAAGGCAGTATAACAAAACCCCCCACAATGTTTTTTTTTTTTTTCACATTACTGTATATCACCCATAATCAAACACACTCTCCTAACATGGAGTGTATTTAGTGAATTCATTTAGTGCAGCCCCTGCATGGCATTTTAAGTGCTTCTTTAATAGTGAAATATTTGGTTAAATGTTGCTGTATTTTCAACTTGGTTATATAAATGAGTGTATAGTTTGTTGTTGTATTTAGTGGAAATTGATCTGTTCATATTTAATCGAGAGTGTTCATTAATTTAAATCACCTTAATGTTTTTGTGCCAGAACACAAATACAGATCTGATTAAATTATTAATTTTAAGCTTAACAAACTTAAATGAACTGAATGAACTTTAGTTTTAGGCTACTGAATTCCACCTATTTTAAATTATGAGTGGCTTACCGTTTTAAAGTATCTTCCCCAGCACTGCTGGTTTAGTATATCAGTTTTGTTTGTCAAGTATCTCTGCAGGTGTAAACAAGAACACAATCATTAGAAGTACAATTCTCTTCAATATGCTGAAACTAAAGTAAAATTATTCCACAATATGTTTTCATCTCTCTGTCAGATCTTTTTAACCAGTCAAAAATAAGCCACCTATTCTGTGGATAAACGCTTCTGAATGAAAATGTCTGGGCAACGAAAGGCTTGATGAATCCTTGGAGGATTTGTGATGTGAAACATTAATATTTCAGACTCTTTATCAGTAAATTCTCTGATCTTATATGTGGGGTCCAAAAAGTCTGAGACCAATAGTTTAAAAAGATTTTAAAGTAGAACATAATTCGAGAATTTATTCTGATTCAAGGGGAATTTCAAGGAGCTTGTATATGTATACAGCGATAGGCGTCATATTCATATAGGTTGAGTCATTGATGCGAGCTTGACTAACGTGACCTGCCAGAACTTGATTTTAGTATTATTTATATACTAATATAGTATTAATTCATATTTTGAATTAGCTTTTATTTATTTATTATTTTTAGTTCTGATAAGAAATTTGTCCATTTCAATTTTTTTTATTCATTAATTAGTACTTCAACTTAATTATTTCAGTAAGTTTTTTAAGTATGCATCTAATATTTAATGTTTTTATTTCAACTTTATTTCAATTACCAGAAATATTTTTGAATATTTTTAGTTAATAATAACAACACTGAGCTTCAATGTCTCCTCAAAGAGTTACATGATTAGTCTAGAAATTGTTCAGAATCTTAAATATTTCTCATTCACTTCATTATAACTTTGTTTGAATTATTTCAACTTTATTTATTTCCAGATTTATCTGGTATTTTAAATGTGGTTTCAGACATTTGAACCCCAATGCATGTCCTCCATTTAGTTGCTTCCTACAGATGTACTTTACTATAAAAGCCTTCATCACCATTGGATAGCAGAATGTGGATCATGCCATTTGAAAAGGGTAAAGAGAAAACCAGAGAAAGAAGCAAGGCTCAATGTTTTCGAGTTTAAAAGAGAGTGGTTCTGAATGCGTGCGCATCTCAGTTGTTTGTAAAGTGATAAAGAGAGGGTCTTTTTCCCCTGCTTTTCTTTCAGAGGCTTTTCTCCTGTCCCCGAACAGCCTCAGATTTGGCCTCGTCTCCGAACTGCTGGAGATCCTCGCTGTGCCCGCAGGATCATCCCAGCTGTCGTCGGGAATCTTCCAAAATTCCTGGTTTCTGTTTTGAGGACGAGCACATACGCCCCATGGTAAAAGCAGAATCCTTTGAAACTCATAACAATTCCTGTCACACTTTGATAATGTTCACAGATGGCGTTCTGTTGTTGTTGTTGTTCTTGGGGAACTGTGGAGATGGAAGCAGATGTCTAATGTTAGTGAGAGGATTCGAGCGTTCAACACAGAACATGGTGGAGTAATGGTGAAAGAGGCGAAGGTATGGCCACATAATTAAACCCTATTCCGTGATAATTATTTTGAGCCGTATCACATTTAGTCCAATCCCATGCAAGACGATTGTTAATTACAATTGTTATTGTATAATCACCTAAAGGATTATTAGGAACACCTGTTCAATTTCTCATTAATGCAATTATCTAATCAACCAATCACATGGCAGTTGCTTCAATGCATTTAGGGGTGTGGTCCTGGTCAAGACAATCTCCTGAACTCCAAACTGAATGTCAGAATGGGAAAGAAAGGTGATTTAAGCAATTTTGAGCGTGGCATGGTTGTTGGTGCCAGACGGGCCGGTCTGAGTATTTCACAATCTGCTCAGTTACTGGGATTTTCACGCACAACCATTTCTAGGGTTTACAAAGAATGGTGTGAAAAGGGAAAAACATCCAGTATGCGGCAGTCCTGTGGGCGAAAATGCCTTGTTGATGCTAGAGGTCAGAGGAGAATGGGCCGACTGATTCAAGCTGATAGAAGAGCAAATTTGACTGAAATAACCACTCGTTACAACCGAGGTATGCAGCAAAGCCTTTGTGAAGCCACAACACGCACAACCTTGAGGCGGATGGGCTACAACAGCAGAAGACCCCACCGGGTACCACTCATCTCCACTACAAATAGGAAAAAGAGGCTACAATTTGCAAGAGCTCACCAAAATTGGACAGTTGAAGACTGGAAAAATGTTGCCTGGTCTGATGAGTCTCGATTTCTGTTGAGACATTCAGATGGTAGAGTCAGAATTTGGCGTAAACAGAATGAGAACATGGATCCATCATGCCTTGTTACCACTGTGCAGGCTGGTGGTGGTGGTGTAATGGTGTGGGGGATGTTTTCTTGGCACACTTTAGGCCCCTTAGTGCCAATTGGGCATTGTTTAAATGCCCCGGTCTACCTGAGCATTGTTTCTGACCATGTCCATCCCTTTATGGCCACCATGTACCCATCCTCTGATGGCTACTTCCAGCAGGATAATGCACCATGTCACAAAGCTCGAATCATTTCAAATTGGTTTCTTGAACATGACAATGAGTTCACTGTACTAAAATGGCCCCCACAGTCACCAGATCTCAACCCAATAAAGCATCTTTGGGATGTGGTGGAATGGGAGCTTTGTGCGCTGGATGTGCATCCCACAAATCTCCATCAACTGCAAGATACGATCCTATCAATATGAGCCAACATTTCTAAAGAATGCTTTCAGCACCTTGTTGAATCAATGCCACGTAGAATTAAGGCAGTTCTGAAGGCGAAAGGGGTCAAACACAGTATTAGTATGGTGTTCCTAATAATCCTTTAGGTGAGTGTACATATATATTATAATTCAATATTGAAGTGTTGATTTAAAAAAAAATACAGCAGTTTAGTCTTTTATAGTTATATTGTGTGATGTGATGTGATGTTAGGTGATGTGATGCTCTATTGAAATCGAATGTACTGTAAAACGTAGGTTACGCTTTATTTTCGATAGTCCACTATATACATTCTACTGATCCTGCCTTCTTGTGCATTCAGGAAATCTCCTTCCTCCCGCTTCTGAAGATAAGATTACCAGCTGATCGCATTCAAGCTCTTTGTTGTTGGTAAGAACAGGAATCATGGTTTATTCTTACCTATTTATTGGGAAAATCTTATTAAAGCCATAATTATATTTAGTGGTCCACATTCATATAAACAATCACCACGCTATAGTCATAGTCAGCTATAGTATAGCTATTGTCAGCTTAATGACAATTCTGGAATTTTGGTCAAATTTTCACTGTGTATGAAACAAACAATATGCTTCAAATGATTATTCATATATGTAAATATGCAGTATTTTAACAGAGAGAAAAGGTGATGTAGCTGTTGTGGAAAAACGAATAAAGAACAACAGTCACAGCAGCAATCGTTCACCCCTCCGCAAGGTTTAAAGTTTATAGCCCGCCCAACTCGGGGACTTAGGTATCAAAATTATCCCTGAGCTTGAGAGGGCGTACATGTCCAATTTTTAACTAGGAAACTCGCATTTTGATAATTCCGATAGCACGCGAAGCCAGTATAAATACAAACTTCTGTAATGAAACTCTAGATGGCGCTTTAACTCAATCTGCTTGCAATCACATCATCTCTATAGGGCACAGCTGATTGGTTCCTGCTATATCAGCAGCCAATGAGCTCGCTGCTCAACCTTCAAATATTTGGTCAACATTTAGCAGATGCAGTTCGCTTTCAGAAGCCCTCCCCTTCCCCAGCTCCACCTGTATAAATCTGCTACGGGTAATTCACGAATGCTAAATTGTACAGCAGCGACATTGTCATACTCATTTACATGCCAAACACTCAAGAGAGTTGTCATGACAGAACTATAAGGTTATAATTTAACTTTGCAACTACTGTACATGTCAGCTAACTCTCTTTAATTTGCAACTACATGTCAACTAACTGTCATTAGACTAGAGTACTAGTAGACCTGTTAGATTCGGGTTAGTAGAATAAGTTGACATGTATGTGCAAAGTTAGTAGTCAGTAGAATGTCTGTTGGAGAGCGTCAGAATAAAGTTATAGCAGATATTAAGCAGACAGTCTACTAATACTCTAATGAGAGTTAGTGACATGTAGTTGAAAAGTTACTTATAGTTAGAAGAATGGACAAGTTGCTACCAAATTGCATTATGGCAAGTGCATTTATAGCTAATCCTATGAAAATAAGACTTTATATATAATGTTTACTGAGAAAATGATGCTTATATTGCCTTTTTTAGACATGAAACGAAATGTTAATGGAGTTTGGCAGGAGTGATAATTCAGGACGGTTCACCTGTCCAGTGTGGTCTGGCTCTCATTGGATGGTGGTTATACCTTACTGCGCAGCAGACCCCCTGATGGATGCTCCGGGGTACTGCATTCAGATGAGTTCTTGGCTTTGTCCTTGTTATTGTTTGGCTCGTTGTCTTTGATGATGTCGTACTGGCGGCAGAAGAGCGCGATCACACCTGAAAGAGACAAAACAACATGCACCCATCCACCTTATTTTTAAACGGAAGAGCAGCGTGGCCGTAATTGTGCGAGGCTTCCGGTTTCATCCGCTTCAGTTATTTTAGGCCTACCTGTACAAAAACAGTCCGTTATGCTGCCTGATATTGCAGACTGGTATTTGTTATCATATTTGCGCTAAGTGCAAATACCAATGCTATTTTCACTGAATGCAGATAGTGTCAGATGCTATTAACACTAAGTGTAACACTAATTTACACAAAGTGTAAAGAGCAAATAAAAGTTTTTTCTTTGCACTAAGTGTAAATAGTTGTTAAATGCAAAATGTTATAATTAGTGCATATTGTGGCAGATACTATTTACACCTCAGTGTATGTATAAAACTGTATGCAATAATAACAACAACATATTTAGTGTATATGATTATATTTATTAAAATCATAAATGGATGCTGCCTTATGGGACATAACTTGTACTTGGCATTCCCACTATTAAATACCAGTTAGGCACTTTATTTGTACTTTTCTTAATTGTTACTTAAAAATAAATGCCGCTCCGAGGTGATATGCGACGGGAAAAGGGAGAAGAATGAGTTTGCTAAAAGGTGGATCCGAACAGGTCGGTAGTGCCAAAAGCTAAAGCCACACGCCTTATATTCTCTACGCCACCACAGATTTCAATCAGGTAATGGTGGGCGTAAGTGTAAATGTATTCTGCCAACAAGGCAGGTATTTGCACTTGGTGTAAACTGTTTAACGTATTATCATAATCACAAACACACTGGCTTACAGCGCAAATAGTTTTAATGTTTACTTTATTCTTCTAGTTATTTACCTATGAATTAGAGATCTCGCACATTCACGGAAAATAGTTTGCTTCTACGTTTTAAAATAAGATGGATAGATAAATGCTGCTTCTCTCAATATGCTGTTCATTTAGCCATGTGTGTAAGAGCCATTTCGTCTTTATTTAAACCTTATGCAGGTGTGTGTCCAGTAGGGGTCTCTCTTTGGGTAATTGGTTGCTGAATATAGGTAGGAACCTTCCTTCAGGTGACGTGTTGCTGGAGGGAAGGTGCACACAGTTTTTTGACCGCTAAGCTATGCTACACTGAGCTATGATGTGCCATGCTGTGCAGTAGGAAATCGTCCATTAACAAGCACCGTCCAGCAGCCATCAGCTGCTTAAAGTAATAGACTTGGCTGCTTACAATGTGATTGAAATCCCTGTTGTCTATTAACTGATTGTGTTTCATGTGGAATATGTTTGCAGTTAATGTGTATTTTAAAGGCTGGAATACTAGCCTGGGAAAACCCAGACAACTTCCGGCAAATTTAGATTTGCTCTGAAAGTTAGTCTGGCAAAGAGCTCATTCAAGCCCATTTCCAATCCGTCGAAATCGAGGCACCAATCAGAAACGTTGGGGCGGGCTTTACACGATGACGACAGCGCTGGGATTTTGAAGCAGATTTTGTAGCCTACATTACAAAGATGGATGCCGCCGTCGAACATCACTCGTTCCAATCAGCTATCGCGTCTGTTTTAAGCCATTTGAACGTTTCCTTTTAGTTAAAAACCGAGCAAAGAACAACACTCGGAGATGTGTCTCCGCCGCTCTGCATACGTCATCTCCTTCATCGCTCTGATTGGGTTTAGGTCTATCCGCGACGTCCGTTGGTGACGCCCCTCTGGAAATGATTCGTTTATGACGCTTTGCCAGACCAAAACTCAGTTACAACTGAGAATGGTCTGGTTTTAACCAGGCTACTGGAATACACCAAACTAATTAAAACACTAGGCATCTTGCACTAAAAACACTAAAGCTGCCTTTCCACGATCTCCGACATTCGCATAAGATTAAAGTCTGTTGGATTCTGACTGGTTGTCAATGTTGTTTCCAGCTAAAAGAAATAGTGATTCCAATGATATCGCTACTCTGTGCTGTTATAGCTGTGGTGTGGACTGCTATTCTTTTGAATTTAGGAGGATTTTTTATAACAATGAACGAGTGGGTGTGGCCATTTGTAACTTGAATGTGTTCATTATGCTGCTTTATATAGCAAACTTAATTGTTATCATATGATTTCAATGTATTACCATAATCATAAACACAATGGTTTGTAGCACAAATACTTTGACCGGTTACTGCACTTTGTAATCGGAAGTCTCGCACATTCACAGAAAATACTTCCGCGTTGCAAAATAAGGTGGATTGTCTAAAGCTAAAAGGTACTCCTCCAGACTGTAAAGCGGGGGGAAAGTGGTGTCGTGTTTTCCAGCCTTCATGTGATGGTCCAGAGCTCACCTGCCCACATGATCAGAACCACCACAATGATGATGATCTCTCCTGCCCTGAGCTGAGCGTTCTGCCCAACTTCCTCCATGGTGACTTCGTCTGGCAAGAATACAACGACATCATTAGTGGTATGTCAAATATTGATTATACTGTAATAACGATGGTTTTATAACTATCCCATATTTTGTATGATCACATTTTCATTAGTAGATCATACTGAAAAATTAAAAATGATTAAAATCTACTCATACAGCAGTTTCATATAATCCTGCATCATGTTTGCTACCTCAATTCAATTTTTAGAGTCACTGTAAAATCTTTTTTTTTAAACTATTTCAATGAAGCGCAACCCTGGTACTATTATATCAAAGACTACTTAAAAATCTCTTAATGTCCCTATGTTGCAGCACTGCAGATATATTCAAAACATGAGCTAATCACAGGTTATTGATTGACTGGGATGAGCTGCATCTTTAATGAAACTAATGGATCTTAAAGACGGTCTTTGGGCTGAATTGTTCTTCAGGCGCTTTATTTATTTGTTTATCACTGATTTGAGAAGTAAAAGAAGTGATGAAATGTCAATCATTTAATAAGACACACATCATGAACTGAGAATAGCTGTTTTGCTGCCAAATGTATTATTATTGGTGATTTTTAGTCCAGAAACAGTCAAATTGTTTATTATTATTATTATTATTAAATTAAGAATTAAATCAAATGTTTCTTCAAGAAATGATACATTTCTTAATGTGTTTTTATTTTGCAAGTCGTCAAAAGTAGTCATTCGGAAAAACACATCCCTCTTTCCCTTCCTCTCATGATTTATTGAAATATTTGGGCAAGCAAAGATGGCTATATGGTTGTCAAGAAAAAGTCATTTGAATGATAAAGGATCAACTGATGTTATTTCAGTATTGAAGGGATTAAGAAAATCCCCTATAAACAGAGAATTATCATAAGCTGGTATTGTAGATGATTTGAAGATTTGAAACCATTTGTGAAGTTGATTCTGATGGCTGCTTGCAAATCTATATTTATTAGTAATGTTTGCTTGTAAAACTACTCTCATATTTGTGTGTATTTATTTATTTATTAATTCGTTTTCCTCATCAGATCTCTCTCTTTACTTATTTAGTTATTTATTTGATGTTATAATGATAATAAGCCCACTTATACCCACTGTATTGAGTAGTGTGGTGATGTGTGTTTGTGTCAGTACCTTTGCTTTTAGAGGCTTGTGTTTCTGCTTCTTTGGGGGTTTTGAAATGCAGCGGCTCACTGAGGGGACTCGGTCCGCTTATACTGATAGACTGAACATGCACAATATAGTCCGTATCTGCCTCCAGATCCCACAATGCACAGCTCCTCGTGGTAGTGTTCACTTCTTGGATAAAGCGCAGCATGCGAACGTCTTTTTTCTGTTATGGATAGATAAAACTAGTATTTAACCAAATGCTTTCTCTTTTGTGAGATGCTTTCTACTAATGAACATGAGTGCTGAGTGTGTGACCTTTCCTTTCTCTCTCTCACACACACACACACACACATCTTCTGATTACCTGTTGTGTGATGGCAAAGCCGATGACTGGCTCTCCGTCCGGGGTGTCCCATGTCACCACAGCTGAGCTGCCCTTTAAATCTCTGATGGACACGTTCACCGGAGCAGCCAAACTGTCTGAGAAGAACAGAGAGCGCTTCGTTCAAATAATCTTCACAATAGCAGACCTCTGATCCACTTAAAGTGAACTCAAGTTCTCTGACATGAACCTAGTTACAGACACCTTCTCCAGATTTGACATCAAAATGTACCCCTTTTTATTTTTTTAATGCACATTCCTGCTCTTATTTATCTACACTTATCTCATTTTTGTATCTTTATAACGAGCAAAAATAGAAGTTGAATTTTTAGGTTGACTTTTTTGCTAAATGAACTGAGTAAGATCCCAGCCTTTTAGCTATTTCAGTTCTCATATGAGCCCCAGTTCTCTTGTGCTTCATGTTGACCTCCTGTAATATAACGTGTAGGTGTATGTGTGTGTTCTCAGGTTTGTTGAATGAGTGCTGTGTGCTTCAGAGAGCTCAAGCGCTGTTCTTTCTCTTCTCTAGCTACACTGTTTAGACGCCACTATTTCACACACATTGGGTTAAAATACTATTTCTAGAAGATAGAGGACGTGGTAATGAAGCCATTTGGAGGGATGATGTGCGAGAATCTCACCCACCAGTAGGATTTATGGCGGCCCAGATAAAAAAATAAATTATATGCATATAAGCCCCTCTATGCCTACATGTCAGGCGATTGACCAAAATAGTTTGTAGTGTATTGCTACAGTGAGCAGAGAATCTTAGTAAGTGTAAATGGATTGCATTCATGTTTTATGCATAGGTCTCTGAAACACCAAAATGAAGCTATGCACTTTTCCCCCTCGCATTTTAATCCTTTATGAACTATCTGTGAACATTTGAAGATGTTAATTAATACCATGATCAGAGTAGTGCGATGAATGACTCATGAATGCCAAATTTGAATTGTTCTAAACACTCTCTCATTGAATCAGTATAAGTGGTTCTTGTCTTGCTGAGCAGCAAGCTATTATTTTTAGTGTTTAGAAATGTCACTTACTGTGTTGCGTACTGAAAAAATTATTTTCAATCAGAAACTGTTAGTAAATTTCATGAACAATTACAAAGAAACGGCACATTGAACATGACATTTTCAAGTAGAAAGATTAAAATAGCATTTTCTTGAAAATGTTATCCAATGATCTTTATTTTATTTCCAACTCTTAATTTTGTATTTACAGTTTGTGTACACAAGGCTAGTACGACTTCCTACTGTGCTTTTTAACATGTCTTTCTTTAGTGTGTAGTGTTGCTGTTTGCTCTTGAATAAGGTCTACAAAGTCCCTCCAGCGGGAGTTATTCTCTATATCAGTGTCACTGTTTCTGAACTCCCTGAAACGCCTCCATGGTAGTCCTGAGTTTTCTTCCAGGAACGAACACATCACAATATTCGTCATTTAAATAATTCCCGGCCAAGGCATACGCATAATAAAAAGGGGCGGGGCCTGGTTGGGTTAGTTAACAGTGTGTTGAAACTGTCGGTTATGGTGAGGGATATTTTCCAAACACACTTGAATTGTTGACCAATCACAACACACTGATCCAGCCGACCAATCAGAGCACACTGCGCTTTTCAAAAGGAGGGGCTTCATAGAGACAGGAACTAAACAGGGGTGCGTTTCCCAAAGCCAAATATGGTCACAAGTTCTGTTGTTACCAATAGAGTTCAGTGGAACGTGTGACCATAGCATTGCTGACAGACTGGAAATAGAGGTGCTGCAACAATGTCAAATATGTGAAAAATCATGTTTGTTTTGAACATTTAAGCATGAAAACCTTTTCTAGTAGTAAAAACAAAATCAAGACTTTGAAAAAGGACATAATAGGTCCCCTTTAGAAAGAGAGAAAATTCCCTAAACAGCTGTACCACTTTCTCTTGGGCCATGACTCTCTTCAAACTGAAAAATGACCATGGAAGTGACAGGTTATGCTAATGCATGCTGAAAATGTGTACATGCATTTGTCTTCTGACATATTTAGAAGATGACGCATAAAATCAAGCTTGTGTAGCTAGAAGCATCTGTCGAGTATGTTTCGGCATAATAGCTCCCTAAGATACTTGATGGTGCATCTGTTTGGTGCTTGTAGTATATAGACTTCTCTATAGGCTGTAGAAAGGCATTCTGGGAGCAAAAACATTCACATGCTGTTGAATTATAAATGAAGCACCCCACATAGATGTAGAAGACGGGCTGGAACACATAAACCTGACACTTAATTCATTCACTTGTACACTTTATTGTGATTTGTTCGGACATTGATTCAGAAATCATTACAATGTAGATAGACATCTGCATTTAATTCATTACAAAACATTCTTTTACAACACTTTGATTGATTGATAATGATTTTAGTGTTTTTTGAATAATTAGCCATGCTTTATACGGTGATGTTCTATGTTTTATTCTGGTAAGCTCTAGGTTGTTTATTTGAATCTCCTTACAAAATCAACTGAGACTGAAAATAAAGAATGGCCCAATCTAGAAAACATATCAAGATGATTGTAATAAAGGAGGAATAAAATGAAGGAAGTATTTGGAGTGAACAACTAATAATGTTCCTCTGAGGGTTTTGACTTTCATTTTGTTCAAAGCCTCGCTATGAACCGTTAGATTTCTTTTGAGTTTATGCAACTGTTTTACACAAAATGAATAAGCCACATGAAGTCATTAGAGTGGGTTTACCGTGTGCAATATAGTTCATTAGCTGTAGGCTATTTATGGTTGTCAAGCAATGTCACAATATGATGGGAGATATCCGTTTTATAAGAAAACGTGCCGTTTCGACAGATACTGTAAAACTAGTTGTCATTGCAGTACTAGTGAGTGTGTGTATGTGTTTGTGAGGGAAAAAGGAATATTTTAACTTTATATGGAAACAAGTTTGTGTTGATAGCTATGCATGAACTGTTTATGGAAGAGATTCGCCACAAATTCTCCTTTTGTGTTTCATAACATACTGGCTTATGACAAGACATGAGGGTGAGTGAAAAATGACATAATGTCCATTTTTGGGTGAACTATTCCTTTAAGCCGTTAATCACATCATATTATTTTTACTATGCTGACCTGATTTGCTCAGCCAAGTGCTTGGGCCTTTATTTTTGCATTTTCTCGTCTTCTCTGCCACAGTTTCATTTCAGTGTTTAATGCTTTTCCCTAAAGTAACCTCCCGACGTATTTTCTACTGAAAACTCAATCTCCTGTCACTGGAGCCTCTAAAAGCATCAAGGAACTGATGGTTGCAGCTGCCAGATGACAGTTTACATCCTGATTCATGGCTTTTCCCACTTTACTAGGGGTTGAATATGGTGCATTAAGATATAAAATTTATAGCCCATTAAGTTGAAGTAGGTTGTAGTAGTTTGGATTTATTATTTTGCTGGTTCTGGCTGCATTAGAGGAGGCTTCTTTATGGTGCAGCATTAATGTGTCCTGCTTAAATGAGGTGGAGACAGAATCACTTAAGCATCTATCACTTAGTGTCTTTCTCTAATTGCACTTTGAAGAGATTTGCATGCCAAATCATCTGAAAACTATTTTAAAAACAATATTGAATATTGAATACTGCAAAAAACAATATTCGTAATTTCAAATAGCCTACACAAGACACATTGTCTGCTGTTTTGCAGAGCTTTATATTTTCCCAGGCTCCCCACATCACATCATTACACATGACACATGTGCCCAAAACTGTATTGCACTGCCTCATCGGATGTCATAATTAATGGGATGTGCAACAGCCCCCAGAAATGCATTATTTTTAATGGAATGAAATCTTGTAAACTTACCAGCCAAGACCCACGACACCCCGAAACAGCTCAGTAGGAGCATCGATGTGGGCATGAAGACCCTCCTCATCCTCTCCACGCTGGCTGGATGTGGATGTCTCGCATTCACGTCGATGAATGTCTGAAGCTCTGTGTTTCAGCTCCACAGACCAGCTCTCCTTCAGTTACATCGTTCAGCACCGGATGTTCATATGAACACATTTAAACGGAGACATTCCTTGTCTTTGCGATTTTTTTTTCATATGGCTGTCATGCAGATAGCCTACCTGCTGCAAGCCTGAGGAGACTGACTGACTGAAGGAGAATGTGGAGAGCCTGTAGCATCTCTCTCTCTCTCTCTCTCTCTCTCTCTCTCTCTCTCTCTCTCTCTCTCTCTCTCTCTCTCTCTCTCTCTCTCTCATCGGCACACACACACACACACACACTCGCACTCTGATTATGCGTCTCTCTCAAATTCGCGATTTCAATATAGGTGCTATATGAGTCATCGGTAATTTTTCCATTGTGATCTGGCGATATGATTAATTTGAATAGGCCTACTAGATTTTTTAAATTTAAATATTTTAATTTTATTTTAAAAGTAGGCCTAGCCTATAGAAAAGTGTTAACCCCTTTGTTCTTACATTGACCTCATTTACATGCACACAATTTTCAAATCAAGATCTATATTATACTTATGGATATCCAATTCATATTCATGCTCAATTGACCCTTCGCTAAGCCCCGTCCTCCCTAGTTACTGTTGCTACGCCTGTCAAGCTTTCGCGCCTGGTACGTCTGTTACAGTGTGTGTATGCACCGGTGTCAGACATTCCCAATGAGATAATAATTAGTCATTTTTGGCGAACATGTGAAATATCTGAGAGAGCAAGACAAAAGGGACTGCAGTAGGCCTATGCATTCGAGGGATATATATCCACGACAAAATATGCAACCGATTAGAGAATAATTTCTTAAAAAATGAAGCTAAAGCCTATAGTCCCAGTGCAAACAGCAACCGCCTCATACGCTGATCATTCAAATGGGAAACACACAAATTGAGGAACAGCTATGTTCGTGCACAGCAGGGTAAGTGAAATGTGAAAATAATCTACCGGTAATAATTATAAATCAAACAGTTTATCCAGATTTATCCATAAATCTTGTGGAATAACAGGGAGTTAGTGTTAGTGTAAAGTTAATGTTACTCAGTCAGGGGTAGTAGGCCGTCGATTAACAAAATGCTTAAATATATTTTAAAGTATGTCAGTGAGCCTCCGTCTTGTCTTTATCGTCTTATTTTACGTTAAATATGCATTATGATTATGAACAAAGAGCCGTCATTATTTCTAACTTCCAAGCAATAGACTGTGTTTTTGTTAATCCTGTCGACATAGTTGTGAACGGGGTCTCCCACACCGCTTGATCCACGCCCATCATTTCTCCCCTTGGCTTTTAGATTTTTCGGGAAGGAAAACAATTCCAAACTTATAGGATACCGGGTATCAGATTTGCACAATCCATACACACAACACTTCTCGCTCGAAAGCTTGCCAGACCTCCCGCGCCTAGTTACGGTTGCTAAGACACGATTGGCCAGTGGCGGTTTTCGGGCGTGGCTTAGCGAAGGGTCAATTCATATGAACTCTAGCCTGGCAAGCCAGACCTACATCACAATAGTCTTTATGCACAGCTGCACTACTTCCTGAACTTCAGCCAGCTCCTTTGTTTCCTGTCTGCCATTATTGGACAAACTGATTAATCCAGGTGTGCCTGATTATTGTTACTAAGGCCAGGCACACCTGGATTAATCAGTTTGTCCTATTTGTCCAATAGTTGCCAGCATTTTTGATCATTTTCACAAAAGTTTCATGGCCGCCAGAATATTTTATTGTATGAATAGGCCTATCTGAACATTCAATATATCAAAATAAAGAACAGACCATCTGCTTTTAAACAACAACAACAACAACCGCAGTTTTATTCTAACTTCATGCATTCCTTTTTTATCAACACTTGAATGTGGGACAGTTTCATTAAAAAAGCTACATTTTGAGCAAAAAGCTGAGAAAATAGCATTGTTTTTCAAAGACGTCTGGATCTGATTCAGAACGATGATCCAAACACAGATGGAGTAGATCGAGTCCATCAACACCCCTAAAGCTTCACAGTCCTAAAGCTCGTCCTGGGTCGACATTTCATTTGGTAACATTAGGCAGTTTTTATTTATATGCTGTTTAATGTTTGATGTTCGTGTTATAATATGCAGATATGCTATCGCTTGTTTCTGCTTCTTCTTGGCCTGTGTTTTGACCAGGAGATTCAGTGTAATAGCGCCCCCTACCATATCACAGTGAAAACACAGAAAGACGGAAATCATCAATGGCGGGGAAAGAGTTAATATCGAAATATGACCATATTCTGATTATATATATATATATATATATATATATATATATATATATACAATGAATATGTTCATTATTTTATGAAATAGATTTTTTCAACCCTAGAAATAAGCGTTGGCCTATTTAGCTTCCTTTAGTGTGTAACGACTCCAATGTTTCTTTTGTCATGATACTGTCTCCTCTGAGTGCTATTGTGACTGCTTGTGTCAGAGCATTTCTGATGCAGTTCATCTTCACTAATTTAATCCTTAGCAATGCATGTACGTATTCATAAATTTTGACAAACATAGGCTGCAGTTTGGTTTACATTGCAGCATATTCTGGCCATGAAGCACTTAGACAGAATGAGACTGACTGACGTGTAAAGTGACCGACTTTCATTTTTTACATCTAGGGTCGGATTATCTAAAAGCTGATAGCACAATAATAGACTGCTGTGGAAAACAATTAATTCAAACAATAGCACAGCAGTCTTGGTAAATAATGCGTGTACCGAGTTTGTGATTTCAGCATCCAAAAGTGATAAGCACTGGTTATTTCACAGACAATAGCAGTGGTGCTCATGAATGTCTTCTCTCCTGCTCTCTTCTTCAGCATGAGGCCTGATAATGACTGACAAGCGTATAATCTCATTACTGAAGTCATTCACTCATCGTGTTCGCCGTGACACTTCAACACGAGTTCAGACACATGCAGAAACACACAAACAAGTGAGTTTGGATTTGGACATCTTCTCGGTGGAAAAAAGCCTGTGAGAGATTCTCCCAACACAAGAGCATGAGAACTAAAGACATGAAATGAGTCTGGGTTTGCCACACAGTGACAGAGCACAAGCGGAAAGCTTCTTCTGTCCAGATCTGAGCTGTGCATTGCCAATTTATTATTGAACATCCTAAATGAATATACCTTCAGGCCTCTAGGACCAACAGCATATAAGGCGGGTGGTCATAATGTTTTGGCTCATCAGTGTGCATATATTTTGTTCATGCAAACTCCATCTAAAGTTATTTAAACAGTATTTTGCCTTTTATAATAATTATATGCATGCTGATATGAATTGAGAGACTACATAGAATATTTATATTTGTAGAAGTTAATTTGTCACACGTCAGAACTGTTTATTCTCATACAAAAGATTCAGATTCAAATACAATGTTATCTTAAAATAACTCTTTATGCATTATAATACACATTTTAACATTCAATACATTACAAATGCATACATTTCAGGTCAAATTAATTGAACAAAATTTAGCTTTTATCCATTTTCTGGTTTCTGCAGCATTCCGAAAAGGCAAAAATGCCCAAAAAAATCAATCTTCAAACTGATACTGGTTAAGCTCCATCCACACAGAGAATAGAATCAGCATGTTTTAAGCCACTACATCAACTTGTCTCTTCATGGGGTTGGGGGAACTTGAACTTGCGTGTCTCTATCTCTCCATGTTAAATCTTTGAGTCGTTACATCACAAGCCACAGCGATTCTCATCAAACCTCCCAGCCTTCACCTCTCGCTGTCTCCTGGGTGTTTCTGGGCATCTGAACTCAGGACATCCGGAAGACTGTGTGTGTGTGTGTGTGTGTGTGTGTGTGTGTGTGTGTGTGTGTGTGTGTGAGAGAGTGAGGGTGAGGCAGGACTCGACCTCTACAGAGGTAACAGGAAGTTCTCAAAAATGCTGACATCATACTTCCCTCATCTCGTTAAAATGTATGATTTGGCATCAGTGACTGTCGTGTGTGTGTGTTCTCTTCCAGACAGCAGGTGTGTGACAGAGGTGTTACATCACTGTCATACTGTACTGAGATCAGAGTAATAATGTGGCGTAACTGGTAGTTGAGTGCTGATCAGTTGAGCGGTTAGTCTTTATGGGTAACACATTAGTTAATCACCTAAACACTTCTAAAGCTTTTATTAATCTGAGTTAATGTTTATTTCAACATTCACTAATACATTATTATTCAAAAGTTGTTAATCTGTTAATGGAATTTATTGGACATGAACTAACAATGAGCAGTTGTATTATTGTTACTAACTGGTAACAACAATTTCTCATTGTTAGTCAATATTAGTTAATACTGTTAATTAGTTAATATTGTAAAGTGTTACCACTTTATTTCAAAATATGTATTAGTCAGACAGTCAATTTTAAATTAATATAGTTGGTTTTACCAAAAAAATGTGAAATAGATTTTTATTTTATACTTTGTTTAGATCATCATAGTTTTAAACTATACACATATTTAATAAAATCAATATTGAAAGTCAGGGTCAAGAGTAAAACATGAATAAAATATATTTGATAAAAGGTATAGCTAAATTAAACAACCGTTTTATGGATTATAATAAAGTTTTAAAGTGACCGTTATATAACAAAAAGAAAACAAAATAAACAGTGAACCCTTAAGAGCTTGAGTTTCTGCCTCTGCCTTTGAATAATATTGTGTTCATTTATTTACCCATTGTATTTCTTATGTTGGAGAATCGTAATGAGATTCTAGAAAAAAGCAATCCAATAGCTTATTGATTTATGAGATGCAAAGTTTTGTGTATTTGCTTATAAATGAGTGTGCATGTAGATGTTTGTGCCTATATGTGTTTGTGACATGTGAAACTCAAACATGATATTTATGCATATTTTGGTTTTATTTATTCCTTTAATTTGCATATTGCTGGTTATTTATGGTGTGGAATTGAAATATTCTCTGTGTGTGTGTGTATTCAAATGCAAATGTGGGATAAGAGCGTACATTCAGCTCTCATTTCACTGAGAGATTGATGAGTGTGAATTTGTGTAATTTCATTATATAACCCAAACGGAGCACACATGAGCCTTATAAACCCAA